TGAGTTTGTCGTAACCACGGAAAAGTTGCCGGCCATCAATCTCTCCTTCATTCCACAGAATGTCAAGGGCGCGGTTGATGTCTATCTTCGGGATACTTTCTCCACTAAAATACCGATCGTTGAAGACCTTACGGAAGCTAGGTGGAACTCCGTCTTCGATGGGGGATTCAAGCGGAGAGCCACGCATGCCGCTCGTACATGGCGGGCTTTGGTGGGCTTCGGCAGTCTGCGGAGAGGTTTCTTCCTTCCTGAGATGGCCTCCCTGAGGCGTGCAGGTTCCTCTTGGAAAAAGAGTCGGGCTAGCCCGCGGGGAGCTCTGCCACCAATCATCACTGCTGCATGCTTCTGTTTGACACGCACTCATATCGGCTGAACCATCGGTTCCCCAAACTCCTGCGGGGGGGTCCCTCCTGAGATGGCATCCTTGCGTTGTGTCTCTTCTTTCTGGACGGCGAACAATCTCAGTCCGTGGAGTGGCTTCAGGACAACGTATACCTGCGTATATTTGTGGTTCAGGCATTCTGCTGTCTCTACAGGAGTGGANGTGGCTTCAGGACAACGTATACCTGCGTATATTTGTGGTTCAGGCATTCTGCTGTCTCTACAGGAGTGGATATTCTGTATTGGGTGGGCCAGCTGAGGAACGTCATGCAGCCTCTGAAGGCTTCCCTGAGGAGTGCCTGTTCCTCGTGGAAATTCATTGCTGGGTCTTACGACAGCTCTTTGGTACATGTCAGCACTCCACAAGTTTGATGCAGGCGCCGCGTTGTCGCGCGGACTGCTGTCGTTTTGAAGTGGGTAGGAGAGTTGTGGGGAGTCTTCCCGCCTGTGAAGATTTCCCTGGGGCGTGCCTGTTCTTTGTGGAAATCGAGTCCTGGGCCTGCCTCGGGGTGCTTGCCAACAGCCGTCTTTGCCATAAGCATGTGATTCAGGTTCACGCTCCCAGCTTGAGTAGTCGATGTTTTGAACCGGATGAAGTTGTTCTTGCGGGGCGTTTCTCCTCTGAATGCTTCCTTGAGGTGTGCCTGTTCCTCGTGGGAATCGAGGCCTGTAACTCCCTCGGGCAGCTTGACGCCAATCCTTGCCTCCAAAAGCTTCTGCTTCGGAATTACGAACGCCGGCATAATAATGGGTGTTCCCAATCGCAGGAAAAGTTCTCGGAGAGGATTGACTCTCGTCAAGGCATCCCTGAGGCGTGCCTGTTCGTCGTGGAACTCGGGCCCCGTAGGTAAGTCGCGTGCCCTCTACAAACTCCTCGCCCCTATAATTGTGAGCGTTTCCTTCAAACCGCCCCTGGCGTGGTGAATAAAGGTTTTGGCGAATCATCGTGTCTCCAGATTGGCTCTCATTTCCGCTATAATGTTGCTGCTGTGGCTGCCATAGTGATCGCTGAGTANTGTAAAATGTCGGCAGTGGGACTGGCTGAGCATGTCCGGAATAGGTAGTTCGGTTGCTGTAGAACATCTGGGCGTGTATCCCCATTCCGTGGTGTGTATACGAATTTATGGGCACCCCTATGTTGCCCCGGCCTGTTGACGGTTGAGCTGTTGGGCTGCTGGCGGTTTCATTGTCCTCCTCGTCGTCCTCGTCTTCTACGTGTTGGCAGGGATCGCCGCCCATCATTGGGACAGTTGGTACCTTGAAATGCCAACGTGGAGGAGTTTCGTTCTCCTCACCGTAGCCTTCGCCATCGCCCTTGTGATCACCACTCCTGAAGCCACCACCGTCGTTCTGCGGAATTCCTGAGAAGAAACGGAAGAAGCAGAGAGGAAGATAATGAATGATCTAGATATGTACGTGGACGCCTACAGAATGTTCCCATAATATGCTCTATAGCTAACAACCACCGAAACAAACGAATTTCTCATGTGATGGACTCGTCTGAATGCTTACTGGGCAGTTCTGTACTGCGATGCTGCTGCNCAAACGAATTTCTCATGTGATGGACTCGTCTGAATGCTTACTGGGCAGTTCTGTACTGCGATGCTGCTGCCCAGAAAGACCTGCCGGGCCGTATGGTGGGTAATGCGCTTCACAGTACGCAAAGAGAGTGAGAGTGACCAGGAGCTGGCACGCCCAATGTTGCGGGCGGATTTTGAATATCATTCTCTTGTAGATTACGTCCAGGCTGAGGATGTAAACAGAGCACAAGATGAACATGAATGGCGATATGGCGCGTAAAACAAGTGCCGTAGTTCACATTTCGGCCCTTGAGAGATATATTAAAGCTCCAGTGGATTTGGAGACACAACGGATATAAAGAATTTCTTCAAGGTGTGCAGTTGGGCACTGAATGGCCGGAGACATCGAGACCTCAGCTGGTCTTCTCACTGAGGCACTCGACCGCACGGAAGCCTGTCCTACCGCTAAGAAGATGAGGCGTAGAGCAGTACAATACAGTAGAATACGATACGCAGAAACTTAGAAGCGATGAGTCGTGGAGAGAGCGTGACAAGTGTTGCGTCCAAAGGTAATAGGTTGAACTTCTGCCGGTAGGACTCTCTCTTGCAGGCGCCAAGGGCTTGCGCAAGAACTCCAGATATTCCGAAAAAAACAGGGTTTTCAAAAAGGCTAGAGTGCTTGTCTAGATAATAGAAGCTTTTTAGGCGATTGAGAGCATAACTGGTTCTGGTGTACTGGAGAACGAGGCAAGCGCAAGGCGGCTAGCGTTCGGTCCAGTGGCGTTTTCGGCCAGCCAAGGATTGCTCCGGCCTTTGGTTGCTTACAGCTAACTTCTTTCAACGCAAGAAACGGAATTCAAGAAAATTTTTGCACTATTTTTATCTATATTTTGCTAAATATATCCAAATATAGCTAATATATTTACTACATTGGTGGCGAGCGGAACCAACTAGCCGCATCGTGACCCGGTGTTGGCCCATTCGAGGGTGACCGCGGCCCGATGCCTTGTGCGCAGCCCTTTCTTTAATGCACGACAAGCACGAATATGGCTTGTAATGCAAATTTGTTCTTATCTGTGGCAACGCTATGCTGGGAAGTGAAACGTGCGCAAGGGTTAAGTGCAAAGGTCAAAAGTAAGGGTCACCAGCGCCCGGCGGGTGACCTACGCGCAACGTGAACATTCAACGTTCAGCGTGCATAAGGATGAACGCCCCGTAAAGACACAAACTAGCATATAGAGAATCCTCTTTGAAAGTAAGCATACAGGATACATGATGAATTTTGTGCGGAATATGATCCTTGCTGTGCGCTGCTGACGCACTTGCTGAGCGTGCGTAGTTCTTGCCAGCGAGTCAAGAACGGAAAACGCCCACTAGATGTATGAAACTGGAATAAAAGGCACATTCACGTAGCCCAACAGATTGTTCACTACTTGGTGAGTTGACAAGTGCATTCTCACTCCAGCAAATGATTTTTGAGGCGAGACAAGTGGGCAACGTACGAGAGCATATTCTAGGCTTCGAACTGTGCCGAGTCACCGTTACCTCTTCTGGCGATTTGTAATACCATCATCTATGTTTTATTCAGCATTTTCTTTGCTTAGTGTGCACTGCTTGTGCTAGACCGTTCGCAGCAACACTTAAGAAAGCGTTGCGCAAGTACCGTATGAGCATTCCACAAAAGTACTCGCTGGGTAGAGTATACCCCCGGCTTGCATGGAGCTGAACTAGAAGCCTTGAGCTGATACCTGGGCCCTCGGCTGAGTCTCTTCCAGCACATGGGGGGATTCGCCAGGCTAAGCCCCCACTGCATAAAGAAGAAGCCAGAGAAACAGATGCGTATATAACAGACAGCCACTCAAATATTTGCTTGCAAAGTCAGAGTATTTGTAGAGAGCAGACGCAGATACAATATATCACAATAAAATAAATACAATATATATCCGCTATGTGAAGAAACAAACTGTTAGGCCCTGTTGTTTAGCTTCGTGCTGAAGAGGATGCTAGCAGAGCAGCATATGTGCTCGCGGATGCTGCCGTTGTTGCTGCTGCCGTTGTTGCTGCTGGCGTTGTTGCTGCTGCCGTTGTTGCTGCTGGCGTTGTTGCTGCTGCTGTTGCCGCTGCTGCTGCTGTTATTTCTACTGTGCGTGTTCTTATGTTTGCTCGTATATAGGGCTCCCCCTATGCTGCTCTTGTAGGGGGCCCCTGCATGCAGCATGGAGCTTGCGGGGCCCCATGGTGTTAACAGCAGCAGCAGAAGTTCTGTAGACAGCTGCGTCAACTCTCGTCACCTCAGCAGCAGAACCACCCAGGATGCAAACTGGCTGCTGCTGTTGCTTCTATGTATGCTGCCTCTTCTGTTAGTGGAGTTGCTGTTGGTGATGCTGATATTGCTGCTGTTCCTGTTTCTGTTTGGGGCCCTGCTGGTGCTTGCCTTGTGCTGCAGTTGCTGCAACAGCAGCAGCAACCGAACGTGCTGCTACCTGGTGTGGAATTAGCTGGCTGCCCAGGTCGTCTGTCTCCTCGGGCGCCTGCTGAGGTACATGCAGAGGAGACAGTTGAGGGTCAAGAGGGCTGTCGCTGCTGCTGCTGCTGCTGCTGCTGCTGCTTTGCTGCAGATAACAAAACAAAGGATAAATTAATCAGCATAAAATACAGAAGGGATGAAAGAGACGGAGAAAGAGAGAAACAAGCAGCGAGACAGAGGGGCATGCCGATACATTGATAGACAGAAAGCCACAGAGTTAGACAGACACCCAAGCAAACACAGAAAAACACGAAGACAAACGAACAAATAAACAAACGAGAGAAACGACACGACAACAGAAACAGATAGAGAGACGAAAAACAAAGAAGCAAGCGAACAAACACAGCGACCAAGCAAACCGAGGGAGAGAGAGACAAACAAACGAACGGACTAACAAACAAATGGGTAGACATGGAGGCACGCAGACAGATACACAAGTAGATATATATGTGTATGCATATACTTACAAGCAAGCGAGCAGAGAAACAAAGAAAAAACAGTGGAGAAATAGACAAACAAACAAACAAACAGACGAATGGCGAGACAGACAAAGAGACAGATATACAAACACACGANAAATAGACAAACAAACAAACAAACAGACGAATGGCGAGACAGACAAAGAGACAGATATACAAACACACGAACAAACAAACAAACACAAACAAACGCACACACCCACAACCACAAACGGACGGAGAAACAAGGAATGATACAGGCCTACTGAGAGGCAAACAAACACCCAAACAGACAGATCGAGAGGGAACCAACCGAGCAGACAAAAAACAGCTAAAAAAAAAACAAAAAAAAAGAGACAGGCAGTACACACGCAAACTGGAAAGCAACCAAAAACCAAACAAAGAGTTAACAGAGAAGCAGAGGCAGAGACAGGCACTGCACAGTACACCGCGTGGACTTTCTCTTGCAGTCACTAAACCCTAAACCCTAAACCCTAATCCCTAAACCCTAAGCCCTAAACCCTAAACGCTAAACCCCAAACCTTGAATTGGGTTTGGGCTAATTGAATTTTGCAAGCATTATAAAAAAAGAAAAAAGGAAACAAACAAATAATTAAGCGGTGGGTGTTGGGTGTATTGAACAGCTATCGGCGGCTGTTTCTTACTGAGGCATAACCAGGGCCTCGGTGAGGCCAAGTAAGCAGCATGGACAGCAGCAGCGGCAGCACAAGCCAGCAGCAGGTCACCTCTGATGCTCTTTCAGTTATATAAAATAATTTAAATTAACTTTATTCTGTTTGCTGATCCAATATGAAGAATATCAACTGCTTCCTCCCTCCGCATTTGAAGGTGCGCGTCGTCGCTCGTCATCTTTGGGTCCTCGGCCACAGTTGTATCGTTTTTTCGTTCTGTTGAAATGAAAAACGGAAAGAAATAAAAATAGAAAAGAAATAGAATATTAAATGCAACAGAAAAAACAAACATAAACACAGTGAAGGACAGAGAGAGGCAGCGAGCAGCCGCTGACCGGTGCCTCGACGTCACCGCGCGCCGCTGGCCAGGCTGAGTTGAAACGGAGTTAAATTAGTGCATAAGTTTGGATTAAATAAAACCATTTTGCTTCTTTTATGCAATGAATTTATTTTCTATGATTATTTCCCCTGATAAACGGAACAAATGCCCAAGGTCTGAACAGGTGTGGCTCCGAGCCATCGGCCAGGTGGGCGACCACTGATGCCTCTGGCTGAAGTTTTCAAGCAAAAGAGAGAATTTTCAATGAAAATGGTGTAAGCAGC